CAGCTGTCCCGTCTTCGGCTTCTAATTGCTGGATATTGATCTCCACCTCTTTTTGTTTAGTCTAACCTATGCAGCTCCTTGCAGTTAGACTGGTTATTCTGAAGACCGCATATACTTGGCCTGTCATTTCTTTACTCATTCAGCTAGCCTATGTCTTGAGTGGAGAGTTTAACCATTCCCATTCTATTGAAGAACGATACGGTAGGTAGACTTACTGTCTCATTCTCTGGTCTGGATGTCTGTTCCTATCATCTTCTTGTCTTGAGCCTCCGCCAATCATCTTTCGTTCCCTGGTTGTTTTATATTCGTCGGGTCCATATTTGATCGTCTGCCTCGCGTAATCTGTTTTAAATACTTCTTGACCGATAGCGGACTGCGTCTTGTCTGGTGAATTCTCCTGTTCCCTTGGCTTGTCTAAATTTTTATTTCTCCTTCATATACGACAGCTAGTTTTGCAGGGAATAATATTCTAGGCCTGGGCATTGTTTTTGTTTCAAAATGAGAATGGGTGCCTCAGTCCTCTTCTTGTAACGCGCTCACTGTAGAGAAGCTGCGACTGTTATTCGACATTCTTTCCCTTGATGCTCTACTTTTGCTTCTTTGTCTTACCGCTCTTAGAGGGCCTTCTTTATTGTATTGGTCAGTCTGATACTGCCCGTCGTGACGTCTTCTGTTCTGCGTCTGAATCTAGGGGTCTCTGAGCTTCTTGCACTCTGTATTATAGATTTGAGCAAGGCCTGGGAAATTTCCTCTATTATTTTCAACAGCCTTGTCCAACCTTGAGCTGTTCGTCTTCTCCTTCTGGAACTGTGACCCTCACATTACGCGCCGATAGTTCTTCAATAACCAGCTCTTTCTCAGCTCCTGCTCTTTTCTCTTGCTGTTTCTCTGCTCGCTATTCTTGCGCTGATCTCTTATCTTAATTGGCGGCGTGTCTACTCTCAACTCTGAGCATCTCTTTCTTCTGTTTGATCTACCATGTTCTTGAGACTCTTCCACTGCATATTTTGTAGTTCTTGAATTGACTTCTTCATTTCCAGGCAGTTCGTTAACTTTCTCTCATTGGTCTATTCTTTTTCCCATATCCTGGAGGCTTCTTTGTGGTTCTTGTGTCGGTTAAATCTGGTTGATTGTTTGCACTGGGTGAGTGTTCTTCCATGTCCACATCGAACCTTCTCTTCTGCTATATTGCCTTGCCCTGATTTTGGTGGTGTCTGTTCTCATGGGGCTGGTCTCTCTTTGCGGGGTGTGGTGTTGTTCTTCGTATGTCCTGAGTTTTTCACTGATTTCTTCTCCATCTCGATCAGTTCGAGTTTCTTTCCTTCTAAGTTATTGTTTGGGTATGTCACACACTTGCTTACCGTTTCTCGAGGCTAGGGCGTGGTTCTGCGCTGAATTGGACCACTCCCTGTATAGTGAGTCAGTGGGTGCCGTGAAAAGGCTGTGCAGGATGCCGTCCCTGTCAGTAGGTGGCGTTTGCTTGGAGAACAGGCTATGCTGTTGATTTTGTGTAAGCCTGCCCTCAGGCCGTTAGCAGGGGTCAAAGTTCCATTCTCTGCTTCCAGGGAAAGTTGTCAGGGTGGGGCTGGAATGGTCCTGCTCAGCCAGAAAGTCTGGGTGTGGGGGCGGGGCTGTCTGAGACCTGCAGTCTGGAGCGGGCCTCGCTTCTTTCCACCGTCCCCTAGTCTGCAGCTACTCCTGGGCCTCTGCCAGCAGGCCAGACCACAAGCCACCAGGCCTCCCAGGACTGTGATGTCGGCGGGGAGGTTCCCTGCACAGGAAAGCCACCTGGGTTGGGCGCACGGCCTCCTCCTGGGAGGAGGGTTGCCCTCTAGGATGCTGATCCGCCCCTGGAGGCACACACACCCCAGTAGGCTGTTCACGTATAACCCTTCTGTGCCCTGGGCAATGCTAGCCCTGGGTGCAGGGGATCTGGTCTGCAGGTCCGACCTCTAGATCCCAGAGTTCAAACTGTATCCCCACCAGGGAGAGGATTTCTGGTCCCAATTCACCCACAGGGAGCCCAAGCTGGGTCTATGTCTCTCAGCCTCTGAGTCGGCACCGTTCTCCTGGGAACACCGTGCCAGCAGCACCTGTGAGGGCGGGCGGGTAGGGAGCTCACAGTCTGAGTTCCCCTGAGTCAGCTGTAGGGTCCCAAAAGGGAAGGTCCTGTTCCCTGGAGGTGCGTCTGGCTGGTGGCTGTATTGTCTCTTTGGGCAGCCGCGGGTAGGGTCGGCGGAGGGGAGGAGGAGGCAATATGGCGCCTGCCGCGCGGCTGGGGTCTGTGCACACAGAGGTGCCTGGAGGAAGTTGGGAACCTGGTGCCACGTCTGCTACAGGCTCACTGCTGGCTGGCGGTGTCAGTCTCTGGGCTGGCGTCCGCAGGTCTCTCCACCCTCTGGGGAGCCCACCAGCAGTCCCATATGCAGGGGAGGGGAAACAGCAAATCCGCCTACCCTTGCCGCTGGTCTCAGGGCTGCTCCGGTGGTCTCAGCCTCCAGTTCTCCCATTTTTATCTTTTATTATCAATCTAGAAATGCCTAAAACAACCTACAATTGCTGCACAGCTTAGCTTATGTGGATAACACTGATAGAAACCATTGGATTAGGGAGCTAACTTTGCCATGGAATTGAGATACTAAATTACCTGTGCAGGATTGATGAATTTAGGATCAAAAGTAGAGGCATGACATGTTTCAAAACTCTGAATGCCTCAGAGCATCATTACTATAGAGGTCTACTAAGATACAAAATATCATCTGGTCAATTTTTTTCCCATTATTTCAGAAATCATATTTTTATTATATCTCAATCTGCTATGCTTGCTATAGTCTTACAAAATACTTTACAAGCTAGACTTATTTCCTAAGTGAATTCAGTCTCTTGATATCAACAGTAAACAATGACCTTTCCAAGGTTGAAGTTTATTTCAAGTCAGGAATAGGTTGATATCAATGCCAAATATTTCTTTAAAAGCTCACTCAGCCATGAGTATTTTGAAAGCCTGTAAAAGTATTATATATATAAAATTTTGATCATTATGAGATTTATAGATTTTGGTTTTGATTCATAGCCTAACCGTAGCAAATTAAGACAGAACATAAATTTAAGTGCTTTAAGCCTAAGAACAGCATTTCTAAATCTTAGCCTAAGGAACATTAGAATTGTATGTGTGGGTGTGTATATTATATATACATTTATATGAATTGAGTTGAATTTTATAATTTAAGTATATGGTACAAATTATCATTGGAACATTTCCTTTAATTAGGTTTTTAAAGTGTGAAAATATTAGCAGTTCTCTCATGTGTGACATATGTAATATTTCCATTAGATAATTACCTTTAGATTTTTATTAGATTTTACACGTCTCCTTTATCAAATTGAAGTTTTTTTATATCACATGTAGAATTTGAGCACTTACAGTATTAGAGGAATCAGTTTTTAAAATATGGTATAAAATTTTCTAAATTTTAATTTCAGTAACTTTTTTTCTGAGAAAGAAAATAAGATCTTTCTCTTAGTCCTTTTTCCCCAAACCATGGTTGCTTTTTGTAAGGTAACCACTGTTTAGAACAAAAATGCTCTGATAAATTGTTTGAGGATTTAAAGAAAAATCTGATTAAAATTCTAAATAATTGAATTTTTAGTCTTTTACAAATTAAAAACAAATTTTAATTTCAAATGTTTTAGAAATTATGTCTAATATATTTATTTAATGAAGGCAGTTTTTAAAAATTTTAAAACCTAAGGTTAACACTACCATCTGCAAGGTATTAATATCAACTTTTATAACAAAATGCCTGCTATGTGTAGGATACTGAAAGGCCATAAAAATGAATAAGATGTGTGTGTCCTCGTAGACCCTTATAATCCAGAGAGATCAACAAATTCTTTTAGATACTAAGCTCCATAAGAGCAAACATCAAGTATTTTATAATTCGAGCATATCATACACTATGTCACAGAAGGTAGTACAGTGCCTGACACATAGTAGGTGCTCAGAGTTTATAGAAAAAGTGAATGAGTGAAGAAACGAGAGAATAAGCAAGTATCTCTTTAAATAGACTTTTAAAGTTAACAAGCAGTGATATGTTATTCCATAGTCATTTAAAATATTAATAGTTTCCTTGTTTCCTAATTTTCCCTGCTCCCTACTACGAATGGATGTTGGTTGCTGATAGTCTATATGATTCAATTATTTGTTGATTTATTAATAAAACAGCAAATAAACCTGCAGTTTGACCTATTATCCTCTAGGTGGAGATCCTTTATAATTTTGGTTTAAAAAATGTATGTATGTTGTATTTAGACGAGAGAGAGAGAGAGAGAGAGAGAGAGAGAGAGAGAGAGAGAGAGAGAGAGGAGAGAAGAGAGAGAAAGAGCTTCAGATGGCATAGTCCATTAACATTTACATGTGAATTTTATAATTTCCATTCATGTTTTTTCACATAGGGTCAAGTTTTACTTTTCTCCAGATAAATTTCAGAAATTAAGTCATTCTTTGTTAGAAAACCATATGGGGTTATAAAGTCATATTGGATAAATATTATTCAGTTCTTTATTTCATATTTGGAATTTTAAAATGCAGGAAAATCATGAAAATAATAATGAAAAAGAAAATTTCTGTGAATTGAGGAAGGGGGCAAAGTTACATTATTTGTTAATAACAGCTTTCAGTTCACTTGTAGCTTCATGAAATTTCTTTGAAAATTGTCCTTCCTTCCTTTATTGATTCCATTGCTCCACTGTGTATAAATGTGGCATTGTTTGGATGTACAGAGTAGACTACATAGTCAGAATTTTCCAATCTAATAATGGACATTGTATGAACTCTCTGAGGATTCTTTTGGACATTAGTTCTTATCCTGGAAGTCAGATAATTAAGGACTTGGGGAGTAGATTTCTGATGAACCAGAATAATGTCTTAAAAAATTCTTTATATAGAGAAACAAACAGTAGCAATCTCCTTATGGGTACACCTTTATATATTTTAATAGTAAGATGGACAAGTTAGGCCCTCCACTTCGAACTGGAAGACATGTGCAAAGGTTGTATGACAGTGATACAAAATCATACAGTGCCATCAAAAGACATGAGTTATTACCCATTTACAAGTAAGTATTTGTAACTCAGTTGCTATTTTTCGAGATATTTCCTTAAAGGCTTTATATAATGGAGTACAATAACTTTTACTTTCCTATACTTTAAAAAATCTTAGTTTAATCATTTTTAAGCCAAAATGAGCTAAATAATCTTTTAAGTTTTAAATCATTTTGATTTTTGGTGAGCATTTTATTGTCCTAAATAAAACTTTTTATATCATACATTTTATTCCATTAAATATTAAAATCTTTAGGGAGTTTAAATTGTCACATTTATTAGTCGGTTTTTATGTTTTTAGGAATAATTAGTAGGCGATTTTTAGTAATTCAAAAGAAGAGTTTGAGCAAAACTGCCTATATAGCATATAGTATTGTTAGATTATCTTGTAGTTAAGCAGGTGATTAATTTATTATAAAAAGTCAGAAAAATATCTTAGGAAACATTCAGCTAGGGATCCTTAGGCTTTTTGTAAATTCCACATAAAACAGGTAAAGGATATGATACTGCCAGATACTCCTCTTTCAATGCTTGCCTTCCTGACTAAGAAGAGAGAGTATGGCTGTGGGAGTCATTTTGAAACTCCACTGCATGAGTATTCAAGGTTTACTAATTTAACTTATTAATTTAAAAACTAATGCCTATTACAACAATGTGCTTACTGTACATGTATGAAAAAAATAATAAATTTAACTAGATAAACAATAATATGGGAGAAAAAGTATTTAAGAAGAGAGAAAGAGGCTGGGTGTGGTGGCTCACGCCTATAATCCTAGCACTCTGGGAGGCGGAGGCCGGTGGATCGCTCAAGGTCAGGAGTTCAAAACCAGCCTGAGCAAGAGTGAGATGCTGTCTCTACTAAAAATAGAAAGAAATTAATTGGCCAACTAAAAACAATATATAGAAAAATTTAGCCAGGCATGGTGGCATATGCCTGTAGTCCCAGCTACTCAGGAGGTTGAGTGAAGCAGGAGGATCGCTTGAGCCCAGGAGTTTGAGGTTGCTGTGAGCTAGGCTGATGCCATGGCACTCTAGCTTGGGCAACAAAGTGAGACTCTGTCTCAAAAATAAAAAAATAAAAAAGAAGGGAGAAAGATGGGAGAAGTCTTTAAGATACTAGCAGCAGTCATGTTTTGTTTTTAAGTGATTCGTGATAAATCCTAGAAGGAAGGACTTTGCCATTTTGTTGTTGTTGTTGTTGTTCTTCTACTACCGCTCAAGCAAATATCTATACCTTCTGAAGCATATCTGAAAGAAAGAGTGACTAGCAGTAAGATAAAATCCAATTCTAAAATTAAATTTCCTTTTACTATTTGTTTGATCCATAGCAGGTGGGTTCTACAGATAGGCTAAGAGTAGTCTTTTTAGATTCTGTCCAGGAAGAAAAATGTACTGATTATGTGAGACTGAGGCAACCTATTTTAAGTACTAATCAAGAAAGGCAGCTCTTCACAATCTCTTGAATGGTTCTTGACATTGAGATTCTACATTTTACACGATATTGCTAAAAATAAATGATACGCATTTAAATAATGACGGTTATTAATGTTGATAACCTCTCTATTTTGCCCTAAATGTAAACATTTTGAACAATTTAAAATTCTTAATATGATGCAATTATGTGTGTATATTCATGAGTATGTTTGTGTCATCTGTACATCTCAGGTACTTTTTATATGAAGGTGATGGGATTTCTTAAAGACTGTTCTAGAGCTCCTGCCCCACACAAGTATCCTTCCCATTCAGATGCCATTCTTTGACAATGATTTTTTAGTGATTGAATTCCTAGAAAGGAACTATAGTAGTTTTACAACATCCCCAGAAGGGCTACACAAGGAATAGAGTAGAGTAAACCTCATGGATAGACTTGGAGTGACCATTTGAGGAGGTCTAGGGCATTCCATTCATGTACCAAGTTGATTGTTTGCTTGTTGAAGTTTAGAAATAATTTAAACAAGTAACTACTCAAAACAACCTCTATTTAAAGGGCAGCACTGCATATCAAATGTGAGATTTGTAATATAAATCACTTGAGTTCAAGTTCAAGTACTACTCTGGCTACATAATAGCTTTGCAATTTACATAATCTCTTTGCACATACATTTCTTCAACTTTAAAATGGGAATAATATCTTCTGAAAGATTTGGGAGAAGTTATATAAAATGAAGTATGTATAGTGCCTGGCTTCATATTTGGCATGTAGTGGGTGTTTGAAAAATAGTAGATGTTGTTATTATCTGCATGTATTTTGGAAGCAGCTATTTAAAATTTTAGTGTACTCTCTCCTACTTTGCCATATAAGTAGAGTAAGAAGAAATTCAGCCAAAAGTTTAAGAACTTCTAATATGAAGGTATTTTTAAAAATATTCTACTTGTTCATATAACACAACATTGCCTACCTGTGAAATGAAAAGATTTAACTAAATCTTTGAAGAGTGGGAGGGAACTAATGCTTTACTGAACATCTAAACCCTAGCTCTGCAACATATGAGCGGCATCACCTTGGGTAAGTTACTTAAGGGCTCTTTTCCTCAGTTGCTTCATCTGTAAAATGGAGTTACTAATCCTATCTATTTCTAAGGATTAAATATATTTATGAATGCAAAATAATTAGAAATGTATGTGACATGTAAGCACTATCATATAGAAGTGTTAACTTATAGTAACAATAGCAGTAGTAACAGTATTGTTATCAACTACACTAAATGTTTATATAAATTGTCATTTATATCTCATAACCTTTCTGTAAGATAAAGATCATTTTATAAATGAGGGAACTCAACCTCAAGACTTACTTATCACAAAGCTGGTCAGTAGCAGTTGGCACTTGAATCTAGATTTATCTGAATCCTAAGAACTATACTTTTAGTGTTCAATCATCATTTAGCTTTCTAAGTTTTCTTTGATTCCTGAAGTTTCAAAATGGGGATTCAGGAATGATCCAACCAAAAGTTTTCTTCATACCAGATAGCCCAGGCTGTGTTGTTGGTCAAATTAAATCTTTAAAGGGAAAATTATATTAACCCATTTATTTTATTTGCTATATCTAAGAATTTTTATAAATTGAATATTATCCTTTAAAGTGACTATTTAATGATTCATTTTTTACCATAACCCATATGCTTAGAATAATAATAAAACTTGTGTTTTATTATTACTTGTGTAATATTAAAATATTATTTAACAGTTTATCCATAAGCATTTAACAGAATATATCTGTGTTTTGAGAGAACTATAAATTTAGACTTTAAAAAAAAAAGCTTGAAGCCTTCAGAAGGATTAACTTATAAATTTCATGTAAAGCATACATATATATATCTTCACCGATTCTACATACTATCAGGATAGTGTTAGTAAATGCAAAATCCTTTGGTGTATCCTTAGCATTAACTACTATTCGTTTTCAGATTTAAAGTAATTATTTGGACTTTAATCTTTTGAACTTCTCTGCGGCTTCTAATTATTTTTCTAATCATTCAAATAGGCAATTTGAGAAATAAATTGTTACTATTCAATACTTTTTAATTATTCCATCTCTTTCTCTCTTCTAGAACTAACATCAAATCTCGAAATTCCACACCACCCAGTTTGGCAAGAAATCCTGGTACATCAAGTGTGCTTACAAGCAAAAGAAAAACATATACTGAGAGCTACATAGCCAGGTATGTTTAGCTCTGCTATCCTAATAATTAAAATAAAATGTAAGTGCATATAGTTTTCTAAGGATCATATACAAAAGTAGGTAACGAGCTATTCATAAAAAAGCTGATTTTTCCTTTCCTATATATATGATTTAATCTGGCTTTTAAGTGGTACACTAGAGAAATACTTTGGGCATAAATAGTGTTTGCCTATATCTTGTTATCATTATTGTAGTAATTGTTCAAAGACAATTTGTTGAGTTCTGGATTCATTTGGGCTTTTGTTGTATTAATTTTAACTGCAACATGGTTATTTTTACCTGTACAAATGGAATAATAGACCCGTTGAACCACTGCTATTATTAATTTTGCACAATATTTTAATATTTAAATCTATTCACTGAAGTGATCATTTAGATACTTACCTTTCTAATCTGTTATGATATTTACTCAACTTTGGCATTCACTGTTTTTAGACATATAATGAACTCATCTCAATTATAAATATTTGGTTTTTGTATGTATATCCCAACTTATTCCAGAAAGTTTTAAGGCAGGGTACATAAATCCATGAAGTACAATACAACTTGAGAAGCAAAGACAATAAAATCTTACAAACAGCCGGAGAAAAAAATAGCATTACTTAGATAATGTGAAGATTACCTATACAGTACAGAGCTCACTTGTGCCACTAGGAGCCAAAAGATAATAGAATAAACATGTTGAGAGTATGGAGGGAGAATAACTGCAGATCTTGGATTGTATACTAGCTATACCATTAGTTCTCAAACTGTAATGTGTATCAGAGTCACCTGGAGGGATAATGAAAACAAACCCCACCCCAAGATTTCTGATTCAATAGGTCAGGAGTAGGTCAGAACATTTTGCATTTATAGCAAGTTTTCAGATGATGCTGATTCTACCAGATAGAAGATATCATTTTGTGAATCACTGACTTAAATTATTCCAAAAATGAAAGTGAAATAAAAATATTTTCAGAGAACAAGTATTGAGAAAATTAATGATCTGTATACTCCATTAAAGGAACATCCAAAGGCTGAATCTTAGGAAAGAGAAAAGTGACCAGAGGAGGAGGAAGAAATTTAAAAGGAGGAATATGAGCAAAGAAATTGGTAATATCTAAGCTCATACTGAGTGTATGAAATAATAAAGATAAAACGGAATTAATGAAATAAAAAGATAATAAAGATAATAAAGAGCACAAATTCCTAGAAAAATATCACTTATTAAAACTAATTGCAAATGAACGAGAAACTAAAACAACTTATATCAATTACAAAATTGAACTCCATAAGATGACTACTCCTGTCTCCTCACAGTACATATGTGACAATGCATATACAAGTAAAGTAATGATGTTTTTCATGGTACAGCTTATGCCAAACGTTTTCAGGAAGAGCAGTACAGAAATACAACATCAACTTCTTTCAAAAGGTTAGTCAAAATCTTGATACCCAGACTAATAAGAGGAGTAACCAGTTATAATTACATTCACACTGTGATCGAACTTGAAAATATATAGAAGAGACCTCTAAAGATTATAGCAAACCAATCCATAAAGCTACTGAAATTTCACTAGAAATGCTTAGATTTACTCCTAGAGAAGATAAGATGATCATAAATTAGGAGAATCTTTGATATTTAACTTTAAAAAATCAAATCAACTTGATCTTAAAGGTTAAAAGTTATAAACCACAGGATTGTCTATCGAAATTGCGATCAATTGCTACCTACACATAATTAAGAATATGAATATTCCAGAATGGTATAAATACAAGATAAAAAGTATTTTTACATCATTATTCTGTAATAAGAACAAAAGCTTAAGAAATTACATAATTGATCGAGATGGGAAACGTTATAAACTGACTAAAATATCAAAATTACAATAGATTCGTACTCCTAGACAGATAAGTGCAACTGGTACCAACTAATATAATACATTAAGTGATTCTGATAATGCTTATTAAGCATATATGTTATAAACAAAGTAACACCAGTATGTTTTCATAAAAAGCATAGATCACAAAAGTCAATACACTAGAACAATATGTCAGCGACTTATAACTATCATATTATTCGCAGCAGAGCTAAGTATTCTTGATGAAGATATAGATGAAATGTTGTACAGTCTTAGACGGATGTCTTAACTACCCTGTATTAGGTACGTATCAAACTCTACTGAAATATTACAGTCAGATGTTGGATAATATAGAGCCTGCAAAAAACATAAAATTGGTTGCCTACAGAACTTCAATGTAATATCTCGTATCATCTTGTATCAGGACCGTAATTCTATGACCTGCCAAACATGGATATTACAAGATGATGAAGATTTAGATTATTACTTATTCTCTTAATCCACTTATCTCATTCTCCCACAAAAGAAAATATAATTGTGGAGTTGTACCTATAATTCGAAGAATTACTGACTAAGAGTTTTAGTAAATTCGTTGTGAATAGTGAGTTGGAAGTCAAGCAGTCGAGCATGGATCTGTATGACATCGACATTACATAGATAGCTTACTAAACAATGATTGAGTTATGAAAACTACATAGCAAATCACAATATACGAATTCAAAAGCATATATTCTAGAAAAAAAAAAAAAAAAATAAACAAAGGCACATAACTCACAGCACCACATTTATAGAACAGCCTTCATAGAATCAGTATTGAATAGGGTCTCAATGCTTCTATCAACTTTTCTCTATCTTCTCTTTGACACTGATAAAATTAACTATATCATATACTGTTCATATAGATATGACATAAGAGAAACTAACCCATAAAGAACATATAGAAGATGGTTCTAATATATAGATGATAACTCTCAACTTTTTCTGGCTTCACATATATGCATTATATTTAACAAATATGTATTAGTGGTCGCTTACCCTGGTTGAGTAAAGTCTTATATAGTAAATAACACTTATTGGTCTCAGAACAAGCGCATAATAGCACATCACTTCAGAGCTATAGTCGAGCAAATTTAAGGTCCTCTATTTTCTGCTAAACATTACGCTCACAACATTAGGAATTCATATTATATACTACTTATAGGTGATTTGATCAGGACTTTATACTATGTCATTTTTGGGTCACCCAAAACCATCCAACAAGACATCAAACATAATGATACATGTTGTGGTGTCTGACTGTTCCACGGACCATTGTTACATCATCTCCCTCACTTCCTCTGGCTCCCTATTTCCTGAAGATACAATAAATTATTGGCCCAGTAAATAACCCTACAATGGCGAATGGCCTCTATGTGTCAAGTGAAAGGAGAGAGTCACACCTCTCTCACTTTAAATTGAAAACTAGAAGTGATTAAGCTTAGTGAGGAAAGTATGTCAAAAGCCGAGATAGGCGAAAGCTAGGTCCCTGCACTAAACAGACTTTCAAATCTCATTATTCAAGAAATATATTTTGCCCTATACCTGTCAAACACTGTGATTCTTCTGATGGATCTGGGCAAAGTAAATTAAAAACCTTTTGGAGGGGATTCACCATTCTTAATGCCATTTAGAACATTCGTGATTCATGAAGAAAGTCAAATATCAACAATAACAGGAGTTGGAAGAAGTTGATTCCAGCCCTCATTGATACTTTGAGAATTCAAGCCTTTATGGACCTGGACCAAATAACTGCAGATATGTGAGGGAAACAGCAAGAGAACTAGAATTAGAAGTGGAGCCTGAAGGTATGACTGAATTGCTACCATCTCAAATAAAATTTGAATGGATAGGAGTTGCTTCTTATGTGTGAGCAAAAAAAAAAGTGGTTTTTTAAATGAATCACATCCTGGTAGAGATGCTGGGAACATGGTGAAATGACAACTAAGGATTATAATATTACATGAAACTTAGTTGATAATGCACGGCATGGTATGTGAGAGATTGACTCCAATTTGGAAGAAGTTCTATTGAGGGTAAACATACTATCAGGCAGCTTCGTATGCTACCAAAAATCTTTTGAAGAAAAAGTAAATCTGTGCAGCAAACTTCGCTGTTGTCTATTGAGAAATTGCATGACTACCCCAGCCTTTAGCAGCCACCACTCTGATCCGTCAGCAGCCAACATCATAATTAATTAGTTGTAGTAATTAAGACAGTATGATACTGATTCAAGGATAGACAGATATCCTAATATAACAATCTACTGTTGTATAACAATAGAGCTGAAGGAGCAGTTAAAAGAAGACCCTAGCCCCACAATAAACTGTAAATGTGCCACATTTCAGAGGTAGTGATGCAGATTTGGGAATTGGGGAGTGCTGGACTATTGCACATGTGTATACTGAGAAAAACTATGTATTTATCTCACATCAAATATAGAAAATCAGTTACAGTTAATTAAAGGCCTAATATGGAGGAAAGCTATATCCACATTTTAGAAAAATATAAGAAGTCTCATTATTATCTAAGTTAGAAAAGGATTTCTTGAATAACTAGCAAAACACAAAAGTATAACAAAATATTGATACATTTATCCTATTACACTGAAAATTAGTGCTCCAAAAGTCCAGGGAAAATGATAGAGCATGACAGGTTGAGGATATACCACTACATGCATAACCAACCAATTAATCCAGGATTCTGGGAATTCTACAATAAATTTTAAAATGAACTCAGGCTGGTATTTATCTGTAGCTATTATGAATGGATTACTTTCTTGGTTTCTTTTCCAGATGGCTAGTGTTGGTGATAGAAAAGTACTATTCTGTGTGTGATTTTTATATCCTGCAACTTACTGAATTTTTACATTCTAATTTTTTTTTGGATCTTAGATATCTCTAAATATAAGAAGATCATATGTCTGCAAACAAAGATAATTTGATACTTCCTTCCAATTTAGATGCCCTTATTTTTTTCTCTTGTCTGAGTGCTCAGCTTGAACTTCCAGTACTATGTGAATAACAGTGGTGAAAGTATGTATCTTTGTCTTGTTCCACATCTCAGAGGAAAGCTTTCAGTTTTTCTCTATTCAGTACGATAG